GACTGCATCTTTAAAAATAGCCAGCTGTTGTAGTGGGCACCTGTAATCCCAGCTATTTGGGAGGCTGAGGCAAGAGGATCACTTGAGCGCAAGAGTTTGAGGTTGCTGTGAGCTATGATGTCATAGCACTCTACCCAGGGTGACAAAGTGAGACTCAAAAAAAAAAAAAAAAAAAAAAAAAAAGATAATGAACATAACCACTGACACCCAGAATTTCCTTGGGTGAGGGGCTATTTTAGAAAGTCTGATCAGGCAGGGCCCATTTGCTCGGGTGTCATTTGAAAAGAGATCTGAATAAAATGAGGGAGAACAAGCCATGCTGAGGGGCATGAGGGACAAAGTGGGCCTGGGGCTGGGTATGGGGAAGTGGTGAGAGAGGCTGCTTGTATCTGTGAGGCCCAGGACTCTGTTTTATCCCCTGCTGGCTGCCCAGCACTTAGAATGAGATCTACCACAGAGAAGGTGCTGAATAATGTTTGTTGAGCAGATGAATGCCTAGAGTCGACATTAGAAGAGGGTTTGGTGGCAGGGTAGGTCAGGGAGAGAGTTCTTTAAACAGTGACCAGTGGTCAAATGATATTCATCGTAGATAAGGTCCTTGCTGAGCAATAGAGTGGGACATACACATTCATGCGAATCCTGGCCCCACCTGCGCCCTCCCTCCAGCCTGATCACCTGCCTTACTCCCTTGCAGAGGTTCCGGTTCTGTGGTGATCTGGACTGTCCTGACTGGGTCTTGGCGGAGATCAGCACACTGTCCAAGATTGTTGAGTGCATGGGGTCTTCTTGGGACTGGGGGGGGGGGGCGGAGCTTGAGGCTGGAGGAGTGGGGGTTGGTGAGCTCACTAGGGGGTGGGTCTGTGCTACCATGCTGTATGACCTTAATCACCTGGCTGGCCCTATCTGAGCCACCCTCCAGCAATGGGGGTGGTGGTGGTGGTGAGGTAGGCCAGTCTGGCTGACATGAGGACTTCTCTTTCAGTCCTCTGTGAAGCTGCGGCTGCTATGCAGCCAGGTACTAAAGGAGCTTCTGGGACAGGGGATTGATGTGAGTAGAGGACCCAGCACCCCTTGTTCTATGACCTCATGACCCCCACTGCCCAGAAACTTCTCTAGGCCCAGGGAGGGGGTGAGCCTGGCCTCTTGACCTCCCTCGACACCTTCCATCCTTCTTTCCATCCCCAGCCTCTTCCTCACCACAGCGTTCAGTCTGGGGGTGAGGGGCTGGTATGCAGTGGTCTGTCACCCTCTGAAGGTCTCCTTTCCCCATAGTATGAGAAGATCCTGAAGCTCACTGCTGATGCCAAGTTTGGTGAGTGCCCCGTAGAGTCCACAGACCTTGGGAACCCTGGGTGCTCAGCCCAGTGTCTGACACAGAAGCCCCGTCCTTCCTGGAGCCCTCCCTGACCCACCTGCCTTAGGAGGAACATGAGGGGAAGAGAGACATTGACAACCCTCCTCCCTGTCCTCTGCTAGTTCCTAGTAGAGCAGCAGTGCCTGTGGCTGCAGGAGGCCTGGGGGCTTTGAGCTAAAGATAACAGGGATGTGGCTGGGGCCACAGTAACACCCCCTGCCTCACCCACGGGTCCCCCAGAGTCTGGTGATGTGAAAGCCACGGTGGCAGTACTGAGTTTCATCCTCTCCAGTGCAGCAAAGCACAGCGTGGATGGTGAATCCTTGTCTAGTGAACTGCAACAGCTGGGGCTGCCCAAAGGTACAGGGTCAAAGGGTTGTGAGCGGGCAGGCACATTAGCTATGTGGGCCAGAGGCTGCTGGATAGCAGGCCAGGTTGTGTGACCTTGAGGTGCACCTTGCCCTCTCTGGGCCAGGAGCCTAAAACTGGCTCCTGTCCAGCCTTTACCTGCTACTTCAAAGAGACCTCCATTCTGCCCCCAGAGCACGCAGCTAGCCTGTGCCGCTGTTACGAGGAAAAGCAAAGTCCTCTGCAGGAGCACCTGCGGGGCTGCAGTCTGCGCGGTAAGTGTGGGGCCAGCGGGGGTAGAGTCTGGGTTCCATTCTAGAAGGTACATGTGGCATGCAAAGCACTAGTCCTCAGAGAGAAGACTTAACTACAATCACACATCAGACGGCCACAGAGCAGGGGTAGGAGGGCAAGGGAGGGTGTTTCTTTTCACTGAGGTCTGCTGTGGATAATCTCAGTTCCTAATTATTGAGCAGTTGCCATGTTTCAAGCCTGGGTCAGAGGCATGAGGGCTTCTTAGAAGCCATGCAGTCTTGAAGGGTTGAGGGCTGCCTGGCTTGCCTGCCTGTGATCCTGAGAGCCACCTCACCTTGTCTCACAGTGAATAGGTTGGCAGGAGTTGGCTGGCGAGTAGACTACACCCTGAGCTCCAGCCTGCTGCAATCTGTGGAAGAGCCCATGGTGCACTTGCGGCTGGAGGTGGCATCTGGCCCAGGTGTCCCAGCACAGCCTGTTGTCATGTCCCTGTCAGCAGACAAGTTCCAGGTCCTCCTAGCAGGTGAGGCTCAGCTCTGCCTAGAGGTGGGTAAGGGGCCTCCCAGGTCCTGCCTGACTGCCTGCCACCTCACCACCCCTCCACCTTTCCCCCCTCCAGAACTGAAGCAGGCCCAGGCCCTGATGAACTCCCTGGGCTGAGGAAAACGGTGTTCCAAGCCTGTGTGGAACTGCCCTATCTGTGTGGAGTCGCTGCCCTCTGAACTCCAGGATGCGGGGGCCTGGCCTGTACCCTTGCCTCACAGATCCCTGGCTGCCCTGCCTCCTGCTTGAGAATTCAGCACAGGACTCCCAAGGACCTTTCCCAGTATTGCCTTCTCTCCCTGTGAAAGGCACTTGTCAACTTGTTTTCATGAGCGGGAAGAATAAACAGAAATATAAAGAAGTGTATGCATGAGGTTTTTTTTTTTTTCTCTTCAGACAGAGCCTCAAGTTGTTGCTCTGGGTAGAGTGCTGTGGCATCACAGCTCACAGCAACCTCTAACTCCTGGGCTCAAGCAAGTCTCTTGCCTCAGCCTCCCAAGCAGCTAGAACTATAGGGGCCCACCACAATGCCCGGCTATTTTTTGGTTGTAGTTGTTATTGTTGTTTGGCAGGCCCGGGCTGGATTCAAATCTGACAGCTCTGGGGTATGTGGCTGGCACCTTAGCTGCTTGAGCTACAGGTGCTGAGCCATGCATGAGGATTTTTTTTCAGGTTCAGGTCCAGGGTTTTTGTGAGAGAGACTAAGGTGACATACAGACCTTCTGACCCCATTGCTCATTTTATTTTCTCAACTGCTAATTGAGGCAGGTGAGGGGTGAGGCATACTGAGGATCAAAATGAAGTCAGCTTGTCTTTAGAGAGGAAAATCAGAGTTCTAGCTCCCAGTCCTGGGATGCTCTTAGCTCTGCCTTTTTTTTTTTTTTTTTTTTTTTAGTATATGAAAGATGGGGGAGAATGAGGAAGTGGCTCAAGTTTCATTTTTGTTGTTGTTTTAGACTTTTTTTGAGACAGAGTCTCACTCTATTGTCCTGGCTACCATGCATCATTGCAGCTCACTGCCATCTCCGACTCCTGAGCTCAAGTGATCTCCCTCAGCCTCTTAAGTAGCTGGGACTACAGGTAAATGGCTATTTTTTTTTTTTTTTTTTTTGAGACAGAATCTCACTATGTCACCCTGGGTAGAGTACCACAGCATCACAGCTCACAGCAACCTCAAACTCTTGGGCTTAAGCAATTCTCTTGGCCTCAGCCTCCCAAGTAGCTGGAACTACAGGCATCCGCCACAACGCCAGGCTATTTTTTGTTGCAGTTGTCATTGTTGTTTAGCTGGCCCAGGCCGGGTTCAAACCTGCAGCCTTTGGTGTATGTGGCTGGCGCTGTAACCACTATGCTACGGGCACTGAGCCAAATGGCTAATTTAAAAAAAAATCTTTTAGTAGAGACAGGCATCTTGGTCTTGATCACTCTTGTCTCAAACTCCTGAGCTCAAGCAGTCCTGCCTTAGCCTCCCAGAATTGTAGGGTTTTTATTTTTATTTATTTATTTTTTTGAGACGAAGCCTCAAGCTATCCCTCTGGGTAGAGTGCCATGGCATCACACTCACAGCAACCTCCAACTCCTGGGCTCAAGCGAGTCTCCTGCCTCCGCCTCCCAAGTAGCTGGGACCACAGGCGCCCGCCACAACGCCTGGCCATTTTTTGGTTGCAGCCATCATTGTTGCTTGGTGGGCCTGGGCTGGATTCGAACCCGCCACCTTAGGTGTATGTGGCTGGCGTCTTAGCCGCTTGAGCCACAGGCGCCAAGGCAGAATTCTAGGATTATAGGTGTGAGCCACTGTGCCTGGCAGCTCAGCCCTCTTTATGTTGGCCCTGTCCTCACACTGGCAGCAAGAGGGTGGCCCCCATGCCAGGTGCCCCATATAGAGAAAGGAGAGACCTCTTGTCTCCCTGCCATCTTTAGGGAGAAGAGCCCATGCCTGGGGTGGTGCCTGGGGTGGTACTTGTGGCTCAGTGGGTAGTGCACTGGCCTCATATACTGAGGGTGGTGGGTTCAAACTCAGCCCTGGCCAAACTGCTAGCTGGTCATTGTGGTGGGAGCCTGTAGTCCCAGCTACTTGGAGTTGGAGGTTGCTGTGATCTGTGACGCCACGCCACTCTCCTGAGGGTGATAAAGTGAGACTGTCTCTACAAAAAAAGAAAAGTCCATGCCTGAAGTACTCACTGGCTAGAGGAATGGTTTTAAGGATTTAATGTTTGGCTTGGCACCTGTGGCTCAGGTGGCTAGGGCGCCAGCCACATACACCTAAGGTGGTGGGTTCGAATGTAGCCTGGACCCGCCAAACAACAATGACGGCTGCAACCAAAAAATAGCCGGGCGTTGTGGCGGGCGCCTGTGGTCCCAGCTACTTGGGAGGCTGAGATAGGAGACTGCTTGAGCCCAGGAGTTGGAGGTTGCTGTGAGCTGTGATGCTATGGCACTCTACCCAGGGGGACCACTTGAGGCTCTGTCTCAAAAAAAAAAAAGGATTTAATGTTTGTGTTATTGCGCCCTGAAAGAAAGTAATTGTTGGGCCTAGTGTGGTGGCTTGGAAGGCCAAGACAGGTGATTTCCTGAACTTACAGGTTTGAGACCAGCCTGAGCCAGATGTGGCAGGCGCCTGTAGTCCCAGCTGCTTGGGAGGCTGAGGCAAGAGACTCATTTGAGCCCAAGAGTTTGAGATTGCTGTGAGCTATGATGCCACAGCATTCTACTGAGGGTGACACAGTGACCTTTTTTTCTGTCTCAAAAAAAAAAAAAAAAAAAGGAATTGTCAAGCTGATTTCTGTATTCAGTGGCTATTACCTCAAGAATAAAGGTGGAAATCAAGATGTTCTCAGATGAAAGACAACAGATAGGAGGCCAGGCATGTGGTTCATGCCTGTAATCTTAGCACTGTGGGAGGCGGAGGCAGGCGGATTGCTTGAGCTCAAGTGTTTAAGACCAGCCTAAGCAAGAGCCAGACCCTGTCTCTACTAAAAATAGAGCAAACAATTATGGTGCATGCCTGTAGTCCCAACTATTTGGGAGGCTAAGGCAAGAGGATTGCTTGAGCCCAAGAGTTTGAGGTTGCTGTGAGCTATGACCCCATGGCACTCTACCCAGGATGACAAAATGAAACTGTCATACACACAAAAAAAAGATAACAGGTTACTAGTAGACTTGACCTTTAAAAAATGAAATGGCGGCTCGGCGCCTATAGCTCAACCGGCTAAGGCGCCAGCCACGTACACCTAAGGTGGCGGGTTCGAATCCCCAGCCTGGACCCGCCAAACAACAATGATGGCTGCAACCAAAAAATAGCCGGGCGTTGTGGCGGGCGCCTGTGGTCCCAGCTACTTGGGAGGCGGAGGCAGGAGACTCGCTGGAGCCCAGGAGTTGGAGGTTGCTGTGAGCTGTAATGCCATGGCACTCTACCCAGGGGGACAGCTTGAGGCTCTGTCTCAAAAAAAAAAAAAAAAATGAAATGGCTGGGCGGTGTCTGTGGCTCAAAGGAGAAGGGCCGCCGGCCCCATATGCCAGAGGTGGCGGGTTCAAACCCAGCCCTGGCCAAAAACTGCAAAAAAAATAATAATAATAAATAAATTGTTATAAAAAATAAAATGGCTGGCTGGGCATAGTAGTTCATGCCCAGAATCCAGGCCCATTGGGAGGCAGAGGCAAGAGGACTGCTTGAGACTAGGAGCTCAAGACCTACCTAAGCAATGAGGTGAGATCCTATGTCTCAAACAATAGAAAAATTAGCTGGTATTTATGTGCGTAGGAGGCTGGGGCAGGAGGATCACTTGAGCCCAGGAGTCTGAGGATGCACTGAGATAGTGACGCCACTGCACTCTAACCTGGGTGACAGAGGAAGACCTTGTTCCCAAAATATATATATTTGTAAACAGAAAAGAAATGATAAAAGAAGGAATGTTGGAACATCAGGGAAGGAAAACAGAACAATGAAAAGAGTAAAAGTGTGAGATGGGAGTGGGGTGGGGTGATGGTGGTGGGAGTAGGGGCTCATGCCTGTAATTCTACCACTCTGGTAGGCCAAGGAGGTTGGTTTGCTTGAGCTCACACGTCTGAGACCAGCCTGAGCAAGGGCGAGACCCTGCGTCTACTAAAAATAGAAAAAACGGAGGGAAAAGGATCGCTTGAGCCCAAGAGTTTGAGGTTGCTATGCGCTATGATCACACCATGGCACTCTACCCAGGGCAATAGCTTGAGACTCTGTCTCAAAAAAAAAAAAGGGAAAAGTGTGGATGCACAGGGACCTTTCCTTCTCAGGTGTTTTAAATTTTTTTTTTTTTTGAGACAGTCCCAAGTTGTCACCCTGGGTAGAGTGCTATGGTGTCATAGCTCACAGCAACCTCAAACTCTTGGGCTTAAGCGATTCTCTTGCCTCAGCCTCCCACGTAGCAGGGACTATAGGCGCCCACCACGATGCCCAGCTATTTTTTGGTTGTAGTGGTCATTTGGCGGGTCTGGGCTGGGTTCCAGCTCTGGTGTATATGGCTGGCGCCTTAGCCGCTGAGCTATAGGTGCCAAGCTTCAGGTGTTTTAAATTATGAACAGGTGAAGCATAACTCATCCCACTGTCCAATGTGCTTCTCTATATAGAGGAAACAGTTAAGATTCTAAAAAGGAGAGGTTGCCTTTGTTTTGTTCTGTTTTGTTTTTAAGGGTCCAGCTTTACTCTTTGGGGATAGGGAGGGATGAGAAGTGGTAGGTGGGGTGAGGGAGCCCCTCAGTAGTCAGCGGTGTGATCTGTGCCATGCAGCCCCCGGCACAGTAGTGTGAACTCCTTCACCATCTCCTTTACCCATCTCTTGTTCACTCACTCATGAAGGATCTGCTGGGTGAAGTTGTCCTGTCCAGGGTTGAGCCAGGCAGAAGGAAAACCAGGTGGCTGTAGTGGCTCTTTGGTCCACGTGCTCAGGAGACTGAAGTAGTGTTTGTTCAATGCAAACAGGATGTCAGCAAAGCAGTCCATGAGGCTGCGGGGAGGCCTGGCCCCCAGTGGCCTCTCGCACTGCTATGAGCAGCATACAATTGTCCTCCTGGACCACCTTTCCTACAGATTCTGCTTCCTTACACTGAGGCAGCAGCTCTGTCTGCAGAGGATGGAGAAGCCCATCAGCCCCAGCTCCTTCCCACCTCTTCTTGAGGACCAGAGCGGCACATTACACCCCTACCCTCTAGAGTACTGGGCAGTGTTTTTTTTGTTTTGTTTTGTTTTGTTTTTATTGTCGCCCTCTGTAGAGTACGATGACTTCATAGCTCACAGCAACCTCAAACTCTTGGGCTCAAGTGATTCTTTTGCCTCAGCCTCCCTAAGTAGCTGGAACTACAGGCACCTGCCACATTTTTTTGTTGTTCAGCAG